CTCACCGCACATGCTTTTATAGCTTCCTGGTCATTACGTCACCCGCCCGTGACGTCTCGCCCATCTATTGGTCTGATTACACACGAGGTTCAGAGCCCATCACGCTGATGGGCGTTCCCCTAGCGTTTCTGACGCAGCTCGAGTTCCTGAAGAGGATCAACCTTTCCCAACCAACTAACCTTACCTAAATAACCACCAGTCAGGAATCAAAACAAACAAATTACCCAAAAAAGATCTTTAGCTGCCCATCCCCTCCCATGAAGCACTGTGAATGACATAATCAAGTCTCAAACGACTTATTTGTGTATATCTGTATATATTTTGGAATAAATTAAAAATATACTGTTTCTATATAGAAAATCAACATCTTTAAATGAGTAATATATATATATATATATATATATAATTTATGTCATTTGCAATGCTTGATGAGATGTAATGTTTCTTTCCCTCAGATTCACAGTCTTGTACCTTCATCTTTTTGTCTGGATTTCAAATACTTTATGTTTTTGCCTCAAATTAAAGTTTGTAATTACGGGATTCACCCCATAGCAGGTTAGTTTGGTTCATGGCTTAAAACTCTTTCTTGAAGACTTTTTAAAAATCCTTTTAAGAAAAATGAGTAAGGAAAACACTTGTGGAACCAAGATGACTAAAAAAGTGACCTCTACAAACATATGTGGAGTGGTATTTTGAACATAGGAGGAAAGAGGAGTGTATGTGGAGTGTAGCTCAAAAAGAACGTGGGGAAATTTTACAGCTGCAATTAATGGTCTGTCATACTTATATACATATATAATCCCCAAATGACTTGAGGAACTGGCATCACAGATCATAAATGTTCACTGGCAAACTCTCATCTGCTTTTCACTGTCTTTGTGAGGTTGTTTACGTACTATGGCTCTCTTGACAAACTCCTCCTGGCAGGCCTTTCCGTTCTCCTTCTTGCCCCCCCAGGCTTTCAGTGCGGAGGCTTGCAGGGCCCGGCCGTAAGAGAAGGTGAGGGCCCAGGGTTTGCTTAGGGGACACTGGTTAATGGTGCTCAGATTGATCGAGGCCTCCTCCTCGCTCTGGCCTCCGGACAGGAAGGTGATGCCTTTGGGAGCAGAAGATGGTAGAGGTTGGCATTTTGATCTTTGTATTGAAGTTTAAAATGTGCTAATTTATAAATGAGAAGCTATTTGGATTATAAATGATTAGTTTATAAATGATTAGTTTTTCCCTGTTTAAAAATGTTTTCCCTGTTTAATACTGTAAAGCTGCTTTTACACAATCTGCATTGTGCATTATTATTTTAAGTTGCTATTACTAATTGAAGCAGCATTTTATACCAGAATGTCAATACACAAATCACAGACCACTAAATCAAATCATAATTGAATCATGGCAATCCACAAATATTGTATTGCTGTCTAAGAGAATCAATGTCAGACTCGCCCAATATATACAGTGGGTACGGAAAGTATTCAGACCCCCTTAAATTTTTCACTCTTTGTTATATTGCAGCCATTTGCTAAAATCATTTAAGTTAATTTTTTTTCCCCATTAATGTACACACAGCACCCCATAAATTGAATCTGGCTGCAATATAACAAAGAGTGTGCTGTTTAAGGGGGTCAATATACGTCTCGCCCAATATATAGTCACATTCAATTCAATTTTTCAAGATATTTATATACCAAATACTAGCGTTGTGGGATTAGAGGTGATGATAATCACTGCATTCCATTCTGAAGGGCTCATCTCTAATCTCTCATTACTTTAAAGTGTTTACCCTGGTGTAGGGGACTACAAACTGCTCCTTCAAGCACACTTCTGCAGCATCTTACTGAGACAACTACAGAGGCGCTGTTTGTCCCACAATTAAACCTGTGCACTTCGACGTGGAAGGACCCTTCAACATAGCGGCCGTGATTGTTCTTATTGGGAAGTGCCCTTTGGAGACAGATTTGTCCCGCTTGGGACGCAGCGCAGGTGGAGCGACTCACCGGGAACGGCCGGCGGAACGGTGCGGCGCAGGGCGGTGACGGTGGACATGGCGATCTCCTGAGGAGAGTACTTGTGGGAGCAGGAGTGGCCAGCGGTCACCATGTTGGGTTTCAAAAGGGTTCCCTCCAGATACACATGGTGATCTGACAGAGCCTTGTACACAGCTGCCAGGACCTTCTCCGTCACATACTGGCATCTCTTCAGATCATGGTCACCATCAGGCAGGATCTCAGGCTCCACAATGGGCACGATGCCATGCTGGTGGAGTCAACAGTAACCAGTGTGAATTAATTGTGACACCTTGCCTATTTGAATGCTTTAAGTCTGTTTTCTGATAAGGTCACAGACAGCAGAGAAACAAACAAGAATTATAAGTGCAACAAAATGCAAATATAGCCATACAAAATATTTGCAAAAAACATTCAAATAATGAATGTTTATTCATGTTTATTGATTATTTCATAATTCATGTCATGTCAGTTATTTTGCATGTTTTTAAGCCTGTGCAGTTCAAGGTAATATTGATGACGTTCAATTTTGTATTTGTTGTAAAGCGTTTTTTGCACACAATGAGCTATTACAAGTAAATGTACATAAACAATTTTGGTATTCGTTGTTTTCACATAACATCATACCCTTGTAGGAACACCCACTTGGAGTGCAAAACAAGGTTTTCCTCTGCTGTCCACCAAGTATTTTTTACCAAGTTCGTACTAATATGCTAAATTATTGAAAGATCAAATTCAGTATGTCACCTTATTGATATACAGACAAGTAGATGGGCCCAGAATATGAACGCAACATGCTATATTGCACCTTTCCCATATTAAATTCCCATATTTAAACATTTAATGCTTAGTGTGGGTTAATACATTAAGCAAATTCAAGTATACAAATTCAGAATACACTTTGCTATAAAAACATTATATGCAACATGCAATTTAGCCTGTTGCGTTTATATTCTAAAGCTCTTCTGCATGCATCTTCAATAAGGTGTATATTGGATTTGATCTTTTTTAAACAGTTCCACTGTTTTTTTTGTCATTGAAATACTGCAGCGGGTGATGTATATGGATCACAAGTGGCCAAAACTTGCAGTTTGGTCACATAACTTTGTTTTTCTTCTTTAGAGGGATGATCTAAACATTCATGGCTTGAAACAGATGGAAAATGGACTGCACAGCTGCATGTTATGGATGTTTTGCGCACCAGTCGCGTGACTGAAAACTATGAGTTGTGTTCATAGAGTTATGTGTTATGTCGCAGGCTGTAAAGTGGCTCACCATCTGGCAGATGCTGGCATAGCGGGCGAGTACATTAGCATTCTCAATGATAGCCAGATGAGATGGAGTAGTGGGTGTGATCTTCAACACGCAGCGCCATTTAGCAAAGTCAGCGCCATCTTTTTTATACTGAGCGCAGCGCTCATACAGCCCATCCAGACCTGAGGTAGACACGTGTGAACATTTGTGAAAAGACAGAATAAAACTCATAAATGAAAGGATATGAAGAAAGGTCATCCATACCCTGTGTGGTCGTCTCTCCGTTGGTGCCAGCCAGAGGTACAACACCCTTGTCCACCTTGATTCCGACCACCATGCCTCTCTCCTTGATCAGCTGAGAGAAAGGCTTGCCATCATCAGTCTTCTGATAGAGCGTCTCATGGAAAAGGATGACTCCGCCGATGCAGGGCAGGATGTGGTCATCTGCGGTGAAAAGCAGCTGACGGTACAGCCTTCTGTTCTCTTCTGTGTTCTCGGCGTTAATGCTCTGGAAGCGCTTTGCGACGCTGCCTAAAATGACACACAGTAAAAAGAAAGCCAGAGAATAAGGACAGAATTCTCCATTTGCGTGAACTAGCATTTTGAAAGCCTATAAGTATTTAAGTGTTCAGGCCTGTGGACTCATCAGCTGCAAGAATTCCCTTTCCTGGCACGACGATGCTCTGAGCAATGTCGCTCAGCTCTTTCTTCTGATCGGGGCTCAGGAATGGATATGCGTGAGGCATCTTTACTGGAAGGAGGAAAGTGAAATCAGGAACAAAGCAGATGGTAGCCAAATAAATTAATGTGATAGGGGTGCAATACACTGATGTTATCAGATAATACTGTGGAACATACTAATGAAACATGAAGTACTAATTTCAGTGTCAGTAGTGTCATCAAAAAGATGGTTGTTTTCAAATAGGTTTCCTGAATACTTTCCCAATCGGTTGGCCACTGGTTGGTCAAACAGATAATTCTGCACCAAACTCTCTCCACTGGTTTAGTCAATGTTGGGCTGGAAAACTAGCCTGTCAAAGTACTGCAAGGATGACATGTTTTTGGAGGTGAACCCATATGTTTGCATCACCCTAGTTTGACAAAAAACATCCCATAAGCTTTTGGATTGCCAAGCACTGTGACCAACGAAAGTTTATGATTCTTACATGCTTTGTTCATCTTGATGATCTTCACAAAGTCTAAATACAATTGCCCGAAGTAAAAAGCTAAATTTAAGCTACAAACAAATGACACCATGTTTTCACGATTTCAGTGTCAATCTTTGTCTATTTCAGTCTTTATTTAAATTTCTACAAGTTGGAAATTTTAAGTTAAAGTAGTTTGTAGTAAAAGTCAGGGGCGCCGTAAGGGTGGTGGTTGGT